CACCTCCTTGCCTCAGTGAACTAATGGGGGTGGACCCCTCTTCTGTACACAACCCTCTATTACTGCACATGGCACAGCCTCCTACTGCACACGGCCCACCTCTCTACCAGGTGACATAATGGGGTGGCCCCCTCGCTTGTGACTCACGTGATTATGTATGCCCTATTACTAAGCCTATAGATGATGACCTCACTCACGACCCTGCCCCCTGCTTGTACCTAATAAATACAGATGCTTCTGGGCATTTGGGGCTCTCACTGATCTCCACTCACAGGTTGCGTGGCCCCTCCGAGTCCAGCTGCTCCTCACCAGTTCTTCAGTGTCCTGTCTCTTTACTTCTCAGATCCTGCACCTCAGCACTTTGTAAAAGACACCCCACAACCCTGTGGGGCCCAACAGCCCTATATCAGGCCCCACAACCATCTGAATGGATTCCTTTTCTCATCCAAAAGCATTCCAAAGTTAACCTGAAAACCTAATTCAGGCCATGATTGCAAGGGGGAGCCAGAAATACCTCATTATATCTTCCTCCCTTTTAGAATTACTGATAGAACAGACTCTTTAACTCTGATAAGAAACATTTACAATCTATTCTCTCTGAAGCCTGCTACCTATAGGCTTCATCTGCATGATAAAACCTTGATCTCCACAACTCTTTCTGATAACCAAAACATTCCTTTCTATTGATAATAACTCTTTCAAGCAATTGCCAATGAGAAAATCTTTAAATCTACATTTAACCTGGAACTCATCCACACCCCTGCTTCTAGTTGTCCTCCCTTTCCAGTCCAAAACAATGTCCATCTTAACATGTATTGATTGATGCCTCCTGTCTCCCTAAAATGCATAAAACCAAGCTGTACCCCAACAACCTCAGACACGTGTCATCGGGTACTACTGAGGCTGTGTCATGGCACACCCTTAAACTTGGTAAAATAAACTTTCTAAATTGGGACCTCTCTTAGATACTTTTGGTTTACACTAAATTTGCTCTATCTATGCAATTAAATGTTATTCAGCCATAAGAAAATGAAATATTGATATATACTACATGATGAACTTCAAAACTTTCTGCTAAGTAAAAGTACCAGTTCACAATATACCACATTTTGTACGTTCCATTTATATGAAATGTCCAACATAGGCAAATTCATGAGACAGAACATATATTAATGTTTGCCAATATAGACCATCCTCCTCATGAGTTTTTAAAATGGTGTTTGATGGTTGAAGCAGAAACTATTATGTCATCTGACGTGATGCTCAAAACATGTAGAGGACATACCTAAAATAGTTGTATTAAAAGTGAGGAGGACAAAAATCACTAAGTAAAAGATTTCTACACCTTACTGGGAGTGGTTTAAAATGTCCATGCCAGTAAACTGCTATAAGTTAATATGTATATTGTAATACCTAGAGTAACCACTAATGTAACTATAAAAAGACATATATATTAAAAAATACTATAGATAAATAAAAATGAAAGATAGCCCCTTACAAAGGGATGGGGGAGTGGAGAATGGGGGATTGACTACCAAGGGGTACAGAGCTTCTTTTTGTGGAAGAAAAATGTTCTAAAATCAGATAGTGGTGATGGCTGTACAATTTTGCAAATATCCTAAAACCTCCTGAGTTGCACACTTTAAAAGGATGAATTTTATGATATATAAATTATATCTTTAAAAAGCTGTCAAAATAAATATTAGTTTGTTATAAGCATGTTCTAATCTCATTCTTTCTGAAGCCAAACATCTATATAGAAAAAATAAAATAAAACTGGTACCCCACATATGTAGTATAGAGTTCCTTTGCAAGTGCCTCATTTTAAGAGATAAATTGATAAAATGGCATATTTCCAGAGGACTGCAATGCAGATGATAAAGGAACTGACCTTATGAAGAACACTTGAAAGAAAAGTTTGTTGTTTAGAGAACAAATATTTAGTAAGAAGATACAAGTGTTACTTCAACTATCTGAAAGTCTACCATGCTAAAGGATTAACCTACTATTGTGTTTTCAAAAATTTAGAATTTATACCAATGGATTGTGAAACTGCCTCTGTTTGACACAAGGAATGGACCATCTTGAGAAGCAATGAAGTTCCTGTCACTTAATCATTCTAGCACCAGCTGGAAATTGATCATCGGTCAGTGATACTGTTAAAATAAGTCCTCTATGGGGGGAATATTAAAATGATCATCTTAAAGATTTTCTCCAATTGTAAGATTTTGAGCTTCCAAGTTCAATTTCTAAAATTTATTTCCATTATAAAATTATGTATAGTTTTTGGGGAAAATGGTTTTTTATGAGAAACATTAAATTATGCCTAAGAATGAGTAAATCTTTAAAATTAAGAAAGTTTGAAGTGAGTTTCTCATTAATAGGATATAGTTGAGTCATGGTTTTTGTTTTATATCCACTCCACCTATCTCTGTCTTTAAATTGGTATGCTTAGACCACTTATATTTATATTAATTATTGATATTTAGGACTTGAGTGTGACATATTACATGTTTTTTCTTTGTTAATTTTGTTTCTTGTTCTTCTGTTTCCATATGTTATCTTCCTTTGGGTTACTTGAACATTCTTTAGAACTTCATTTTGATTTATCCATATTTTTAAAATATATGTCTTTGTAAAGTTACTTCAGTGGTTACCATAGGTGTATTAGTTCGTTCTCACACTACAATGAAGAAATATCCAAGACTGAGAAATTTATAAAGGAAAGAGGTTTAATTGACTCACAGTTCCGCATTGCAGGGGAGGTCTCAGGAAACTTTCAATCATGGCAGAAGGCAAAAGAGAAGCAGGCACCTTCTTAACAGGGCGGCAGGACAGAGTGAATGCAAGCAGGGGAAATGCCAGACATGGACACTTATAAAACCATCAGATCTCATGAAACTCACTCATTATCACAAGAGCAGCATAGGGGAAACTGCCTCCATGATTTCATTACCCCCACCTGGTCCCACCCTTGACATGTGAGGATTATGGGGATTACAATTCAAGGTGAGATTTGCGTGGGGACACAGAGCCAAACCATATCAATAGGCATTACAATATACATATTAACTTCTCACATTCTACTACCGCGGATATTTTAAACCACTTTAAGTTGTAGAAATCTTACTTCCATTTAGATTTATTTACCTGCCTCACTTTTAATGCAAATGTTTTAAGTATTTCCTCTCTATATATTAAATATTACATCAGATGACATAATAGTTTCTGCTTCAACCATCAAACATTATTTTTAAAAAACTAATGAGGAGGATGGTCTATTCTATCTACCCCTATATTTACTCATTCCAAATGTTCTTTTTCCTTCCTGAAGTGCCATCATCTTTGCTGTTTCTGTTTAGAAAACTTCCTTCTGCCATTCTTTAAGGATAGGTCTGCTATTTACAAATTCTCTTAATCTCCTTTTATCTGAAAATGTCTTTATTTCCACTTCATTCTTAAAGGATGTACTCATGGATATAGAATTTGTAGCCCCACCTATTGTCCTAGCTACTCCAGGGGCTGAGGCTGGAGGATCACTTGAGCCCAGGAGTTCAAGACTGCCGTGAGCTATGACCACACCACTACACTGCAGCCTGGGCAACAGAATAAGACCCTTTCTCTAAAAAATTATTTTAATTGTGTTTGGCAGCAGGTGGAAAAGTGGACTACCGATCAGCCCTGCTCCACACCATCTCCTTCAGTTTCCTCGATGCTCAGTTTTGACTTTTTTTACATTCCCATATAGGAATGACTATTGTCCAATCAGTGTATATGAATCTACTGTGTTCCTTCAACAGTTACATGGGCTACCATACAGATGATCAAGTGTGACGGCAAACAGGTATTTTGAGAGTTCTTAAATACCCACGTCAATCTTTTCTGTGAAAACTGGAATGGGGTCGGGTGAATCTACTTCTTGAAGTTTTTCAAAAGTCATGACCATAACGAAGTGTGAGCATTTACTTGCTTCATTAAACAGTCTGGAAAAACGCTTCTGCGTTTTGATTGGTTTACGTTTAATAAAGCTTGAATGAAACCACAAAAGGGCTTTTAAGCTCACCGGCAAATAAACAGGTCACAAATGAGCAAATGAAAACCTGAGACAACCTTGTGCAGCCACCAGGGCAAACAATGGATTAAGAACAGTGCTTAGAAAGGGAAGGACAACGGGGAAATTCGCCGATAAAGAGATATATGTGACCAGCAAATATACCAAAAACGGAAAATGGCACGCGTGTGGGATTGGTGGCACTCTGTAGCTCAGAGTTGCTGCACTATGCGGTTTAAAAAGAAATACGAATAAAAGAAAGGTACAGTGGCTTGGCTGGCCGGTTTCCGGGGAAGACCGTGGGAGAAGAGGGGTGATATGAAAAGGCAGAGGTTGCCGGGCGCGGTGGCTCAAGCCTGTAATCCCAGCACTTTGGGAGGCCAAGGCGGTTGGATCACGAGGTCAAGAGATCGAGACCATCCTGGTCAACATGGTGAAACCCCGTCTCTACTAAAAATACAAAAAATTAGCTGGACACGGTGGCGCGTGCCTGTAATCCCAGCTACTCAGGAGGCTGAGGCAGGAGAATTGCCTGAACCCAGGAGGCGGAGGTTGCGGTGAGCCGAGATCGCGCCATTGCACTCCAGCCTGGGTAACAAGAGCGAAACTCCGTCTCAAAAAAAAAAAAGAAAAGAAAAAAAAGAAAAGGCAGAGGCTTCTGCATCTGCTTTCTGTACCGAATCAGCGTAGCGGTCCAGATTGTCCTCCTCCACTCGCGACCCACCAGAGGAGATGGTATCAAAGCGATCCCTGGCAGCTCCGCCCTTCAATCCGCTCTGGCCTACAGAGGTGCCCGGAAAGAGGCGGGGCTGTGTGGGCGGGACGAGGAGCGGTGGGCGGAGCTGAGCATGCGGAGAGTGCCTAGTGGGCGGGGCCTCGGCTTTGACGGCCTCACAGGCTTCCGTTTGGGGGCGTGGCTACGCTGGGCACGGAGCTATGCTTGGGGCGTGGCTCGCAGTGAGTGGGTGTGGGAGGGGCGGAGCTGTACGGGCTCGAGGAGGAGGGGCCGAGGCTGCGGCCACCAGAGCCCGGCTTGGTCTGGGAAACCTGGGGGCGGGGCGGACAGGGCGCCCTGCGGCCGGCGGGGCGCGCTAGTGGTCGGGTCTGGCCACCTTGAGGCTCGCGCTCGTGCCGGTCAGTCGGTCGTCTGGGCCTGCGCGGGGCCCGGGCCCATGGCGGCGTCCGCGGTTCTGTCGGCGGCGGCGGCGGCGGCGGCCCTGTCTGGCCTGGCGGTGCGTCTGTCGCGCTCGGCGGCGGCCAGCGGCTCGTACGGCGCCTTCTGCAGGGGGCTCACGCGCACGTTGCTCACCTTCTTCGACCTGGCCTGGCGGCTGCGCATGAACTTCCCCTACTTTTACATCGTGGCCTCGGTGATGCTCAACGTCCGCCTGCAGGTGCGGATTGAGTGAGCGGCGGCAGAGGCCCGGCTGGAGGGGCGCCCTTGTCCCCGCCCGCCCCCCGCCGGGTCCCAGGCATAAAGGACAGCTGGGCCGCGGCGGGGGTCGGGGGCGGGGCGGCCCGGGCCCCTGGACTCTAGACCTCCGCCGCCCCGGCGCTACCGCCCAGCCCTGGCCCTGGCCCCGGGCCCAGCCCCGGTTTCAGCCCGGGGGTACCAGATCGCGCAGAAACGCACTGAACGGGGCCCTGCCATCGGGCTCCAGAAACTACCTGGGCTCGGCCGACCTGTTGCCTCATATTGGCCAAAGAGGGGGAAACCGGAAGGAGGGAATTCTGCTGCGGCGACTTGACTTTCCAGGCCCCGAGCAGAAAGGTAGGAGGCGACAGGTTGGAATGGGGGAGGGGCGGTGGCTCTGCCCTCCAGATGTCGGGGCGCCTTGGCGGTCCAGGGGAAATGTGGAAGGTACCGGCGCAAACCAGCCCGAAGAGCTGTGCAGCCCGGCTGGGAAAAAGGAAAGGCAGCCGCAGGCTCTCCCCTCCTCCCCAGTCACGATTCCAGGATAGGGTGAGGGGCGGCCGCCTCCCACCCACTCCCGAGTGCCCGCCTCTCTTTCTGAACAGGCCTGGAGGGTATGCCCTGAACCCTGGGGAATGGGCGGGGGGGCGGCCCAGGGAAGGGCCTAGAAGAGCAACAATGTCCCCACCCTTCTCCTCCCACAATTCGGTGGGCATAGGGAGATCGGTTCTCTTCTAGGACAAGCCCCACGTCTGTTCTCTTAGCCGTCAGCTCTGGGGCTCTCTGCAGCTCCTGCACAGCCCTTGGTCAAACTGCCTCCTGTCCTGTCTTTGAGGCCAGAGGACTGGTCTGTGCCTGCTCCTGCTGTCCCTTGTGCTCCCCTGCCCCTCCCTGAGGGCACCCCCCAAGCTCTGCATTTGGAAACAGGGAAGAGTGGGAGAAACTCATTCCTACCGTCCCCTCCCCAGCAGTCTTGCTCTTCCGCCATGTCAGCCCGTGCTCCCTAAGGCCCCTAGCAAGGCCCTCCCGGGGCCAGAGTCCCATCCTCCGGCCCCAGACGGCCCTGAGAAGCCCACTGTGTACTGAAGTGATCTGGGAAAAGGAGACCTCCCTGCGCACACAGCAGCTCTCAGCCTGGACTGGACAGAGCAGATGGAGGAGGGGCTTGCAGAGGACGCCATTCCTGGGGGAAGCAAAGACCTCTCTGGTGGCCAGGCAACTCAGGTCCCCATCTGTCTTTTTCTTTCTCTTGCAGGCATTGGCGTTTGTAGACCGTGACCTGCCCCTTCTCTGGCCTTGCCTGGGGGCACCGCTGGCCCTGGACCTGCCTGGGCAGAGGCCGAGTGAAGGGCCTGAACAGGAGGAGAGGAAGGGCCTTCCTAGGAGAGGCACAGCACGGACAAAGGCTCATGGGGTGGGGGTGCCCAGTGATCCGGGCCTGGCTCGGGAAGGGAGGCCCGAGTTCCCTGGGAACTGAAATCTGCTAGCAGCACTGTGAAGGAGTACATTTTCCCCTCCTGACAGAGGAAACCGAGGCTTCGGGGAGGTGGGGGATTTGCCCTTGACACGCAGATAGGAGGAGGAGGAATTGAGTGTGCCCCTGGGCCTGCAGGCCCCCACACCCCTCCCCAGTCTTCTCCAAGACCTGGCATGGTGGGAGGAGGGAGGGGGAAGCAGAGAGGAAGCATAGGGCTCCTAGGGCACCAAGGGAGACAGGGACCCGGGGAAGGGAATCTGGGGATCTAGCTTTCCTTGGAGCAGTATGGAAGGTAACAGGGAAGATCAGGACAGCCAGCTGAGATGGGAGACTGGAGACATGGGCCCCAGGACCCCTGGATAGCCAGGCTCTCCCCCACAGAACCTAGCTTCCCCACCCCACCTGGAGCTTCACCAAGGGCTCCTCAGCAGTGAAGTGGCACAAGCCTCCCAGTTTGGTGGCCGAGTGGAGGTGGTGGTGGTGGTGTGGCTCCTGGAGACACGACATAACCAGGAGGTGAGAAGGGATAAACCAGGGGTGGGCCTGGGCTGAGACTCATGGCATGACCCCAATTCTCTCTCCTGAAGCTTGACCCACCATGCCCAGGATCACACAGGAGAATCTCATCCTCACAGCTTGGATTGATCCTGGGGGCCCCCTGGTGTGCTGCTAACTGGTGTACCACAATGGTCAGCAGCAGCCCAGAGGGGAGCCAGGAAGAGACCCTTGCCCTCACCTTCTATCCCCATTTCTGCATCTCTTGCACTGGTACCCCGGGGTCCACGTTCCCAGTTCCTGGGACTGAAAACTCCAGCAGTCTAGCCAGCTCCAGGGACACAGTGGCCCAGCCACCTACCATGTACCCTTCTCAGCTGCCCGCTGGACCCAGGTTCTGAATGAAGCTGTCCACCTGCCTCACCCCAGAAGAGGCTGGATGGTGGCTGCCTCGTGCCCCCTGCAGTTTCCCACAGCTAGGGCCTGATGGCATGCCTCCTTGTGCCAAGTCTTCTGGGAATCCCTGACCCTGCTGGCCGCTCTCATCCACCTCTACCCTGTCCACCCTGGACCCCCTCTGGGGGCCTGTCAGCCTGCTGGTCCCCCTTACAGATCTCTGGGGGTCAGCCTTCGTGGGACAAGAGTGACACAGGGCTGGAGGAGAGAAATGAGGGGCCTCCTGGTGTCTGATGCACAGATGTGGCCCTTTCAAACCCTGATGTCACCCTCTGGGTGACTGGATCCCCAGCTCCAGCCTCTTCCTGGGCCAGTGAGGAAGGGTGGAGGAAAGCTCTTCTTTGAGTGCATATGTGGGTGTCGGGGGATGCCTGAGCCCTCCCGGTGCAAGGGGCTCGGCATGGTACCCTGGAAGCTGCTTCTCTACTGGGAGAAATGCGTGTCGGAGCTGCAGGGTACCCCACCCTCAGAGATCCCCCTCCCACTGCAGGGAGCCCCACCCCATAAGAGGGGCACGGAAGTCCACGTCTGCCCACCCACGGTGGCTTCTGCTGTGGCTGTATTGGCCTAGAGGGGCTGGTTGGGGAGGGCAGGGCTGAGCCCTCAGCATCTGCTCCTGTCCCTGCTTTTTCACTTCTGCGGCCTGAAGTGGTAGCCCCGCCTGCTGCTCCTCCACCTCCCTCCCTTTCTCTTCTCTCCCCAACGGGGTCCTTGCTGTGTGACAGGGTCTCCATGCACTTTATTTATTTGCAGTCTGTTTTCCAGGCAGCGGAGCTTCTACAAATGCTGACACCGACCGGAATGACTTCTGCTTTTCTGTATGTGATTTACTGTATACTGGTCAGCACAGGCTGGCCAGAGAGATGTTCTTGTTTCTGGTGTTGTCATGTCTTGTTTTCTCTAAGTTAAAAAAAAAAAAAAAAAAAAAAAAAAACCCTTGATTTAATACACTAAAATCCCAACTGGAGGCCTCCTGTGTCTGGTGGGGGATGCAGTAGCCCCGGGTGGAGAGAGGCCCTATGGTGAGGTCACCGGCTCCCATGGCCAGGAACTGGCAGGGAGAAGCCTCCGAGAGGGAGGGCTTGGGGAGCCTGTGGCAGGGATGGTGTTTCCTGTTCAGAGGCTGTGCTGAGACCCAACTTGACCCAGACCACTGCCCCATGAGAAGCAGGCAACAGCCTAGCCTGGCCTAGAGAGGTGCCTACTTGTCCTGTTTACAACATCTGTTCAAATGACCCAAAACGTAAATCCTCTTCTGCTTTAGAGTCTGGTTATCAAAAGTGCCTGAGTCAGTAGAATCCTGAGGGTGAACTATGGTGAACTGAACTGAAGCAGACTCCACGAAGGTCATTGTGTGAAGCGCTGAGAGACCCCTCCCTGCCCAAGGCTACCTCCCACTGCCTCCCTACCAGCCAGGTTACTGCAGAATCTTGGAGAAGATAAAGGACCTGGACCCAGCAGCCTGCTTCCCTTCCCTGACCTTGGAGGCAAACTGTCCCATGAGAGCCTCCCTCCCAGGTGACTCCCACAGGAGAGAGCTCCCTAGTGGCTGCTGTGAGGGTTGGCAAGCAGGCAGAAGGTGAGGGAGGGAGGGCTGAGGGGAGTATTAGAGGAAGGCCCACAGGGCCCCTGGAAGGAGGCATCGGAGGACACAGGGAGGTGGCAAAGACTCAGGAGTGCAGCCTGGATTTAGGGGCCCTGGGGGCACTCCTGTTGCTAAGGGCTACCCAGGGGTCAGAGCACCCTGACAAGGAGGACCCCTCCAAAAGCACTGGTGCCAACACCCTATGGCATCTGCCACCACGGGAGAAATGGGCCCCAGTCCCTGAGCTTCCCTCCCCTTTGTCTAGATGGTCCTCTTCAGTCCCTAATGGTCCCACTCCCACTCCAGTGATCAAGTGACTTGGCAAACCAAGATGGGGGATGATCCTCCCAGAGCCTGGCTCCAAGTCCTCCTGAAGAGGGAGGGCCACCCCTCCCATCCCTGCTACAGAGGAAGGGAAGGCGGGAAGGCCAGTTCTGCTCCGATGGGAGCCCGGGAGACCTGAGCCCTAAGCCCTGAGCCCAGCTCTTCCGCTTTCTACTGTGTGGTGCCAGGCAAACTGCGCAACCTCGAGTTTTTAGTAAGGCTCCTTTGGGATGCTTGTAAGCAGCAAATACGTTGATGCCTGTTCAATGGTTGTCATCAGATCTCACCTGGAGCAGCCTTGTTACTGTGGCGAAAAGGAACCAAGTGAAGGTAACGGACCTCTGATGAGAGGCTGCCATGTGCCAGGCGCATTCTAGGTGCTTTGCATTCTAATCTCATGATAATCCCACAACCCCCTAACCATTATCCCCATTTTACAAAGAAACCAAGGACAGGAACCAAGTCTGAAATAGAACCCCAAGCAGAAGCTCTTTTCCTGAGATCCCAATCCTCCCTGGAGAGGCAGGGAATTGGGCTGGAGTAATGGTGGAATGGAATGCCAGAGAAATGGGCTGGAGTAAAGTTGGAAGATGATCTTGTTCTTTCTGCGTGCGGTGCAGGAGGCAGATAAGAAAACAATGTGCAGCTGGGTACGGTGGCTCATGCCTGTAATTCCAGCACTTTGGGAGGCTGAGGCAGGCAGATCACAAGGTCAGGAGTTCAAGACCAGCCTGATCAACATGGTGAAACCCTGTGTCTACTAAAAACACAAAAATTAATCGAGTGTGGTGGTGCACAGCTGTAGTCCCAGCTACTCAGGAGGCTGAGGCAGGAGAATCGCTTGAACCCAGGAGGCAGAGTTTGCAGTGAACTGAGATCGTGCCACTACACTCCAGCCTGGGCAACAGAGCAAGACTCCATCTCAAAAAAAAAAAAAAAAAAGAAACAAACAAAAGAAAAGAATCCAAGGCTTGGAGTGGGGACAGACCTGGGGGCCTTCTCCAAATGGAGCTCCCCAGTGGGAGCAGCTGGGGCCACCCTGAGATGGGTTCACCTGTTTTTTCTCCATCTTACCTCCAGAGATTGGCTGTGAGCTAAGAGATTGAGTCAGTAGAAAGCAAGAGAGCAACTAAGCGGGCAGTTCCTGAGGCACCAGAGCAAATACATTGAGAAATGGGAAATATAAAGAGCATGCAAAATCCCATCCTACTCCTATTCACCCCACCCCCAAGGGAAATTGCTGCATTTTGGACAAATTTCTACTTTGTGTTGGTATAGGAAAGAAGAAAGAACACACTACTTTGAAACTTTCTCCTCCCAGTTCATATTTATCTTTCCATGTTTATTTTTCTATATTCAAAGTCACCTAGTAGTCTCTTGTATGAAGGTATCATGCATTTCTCAATGCTTCTTTGTTATTTCCCATTGTTTATTTGGGGAGTTTGCTCTTTTGGTTGTTGATGGCATTTGGTTTTCTTTCTGTTGCTTTGTCTTTATAAACATTGCAGCTGGACCTCATCAAAATTAAAAACTTTTGTGCATAAGAGGTCACTATCAAGACAGTGAAAACACACCCTACAGAGTGGGAGTAAATATTTTAAAATGTATATCTGCTAAGAGATTTGTATCCAGAAATATAAAAATAACTCTAGCTCCTTAACAAAAAAGATGACCCAATCAAAATATGGACAAAGAGTTTCAATATACATTTCTCCAAAGAAGGGATACAGATGGCCATCAAGCACATAAAGCAGCTCATGTCATTAGTCATTAGGAAAATGCAAATCAAAACCACGATGAGCTACCACTTCACCCTGACCCACTTCACGCATTAGGATGGTTATTCATTTATTTGAGACAGAGTCTTGCAATGCCCAGGCTGGAGAGTAGTGATGCAATCTCAGCTCACTGCAACCTCTGCCTCCCGGGTTCAAGTGATTCTCATGCCTCAGCCTCCCAAGTAGCTGGGATTACAGGCCTGAGGCACCACACCTGTCTAATTTTTGTATTTTTTGTAGAGACAGGTTTTGCCATGCTGGCCAGGCTGGTCTGAACTCCTGGCCTCAAGTGATCAACCCTCCTCAACCTCCTAAGGTGCTGGGATTACAGGCGTGAGTCACCACACACAGCTCAATTAAAAAAATAATAATAAACTAAAATAACAAGTGATAGGATGTAGAGAAATTGGAACCCTTGTTCATTACTAGTGGGCACATAAACTGATACAGCAGCCACTGTGGAAAACAGGTGGTTCCTCAAATAGTTAAACCTAGAATTATCCTATATCCTGGTACTTCTACTCCTAGGTACATACTCAAAGGACTGAAAGCCGGCACTCAAATAAATATTTTTAAATGAATTTTCATAGCAGCACTATTTACAATAGCTAGAAGGTGGAAACAACCGAAATGTCTATCAACTGATGAACAGATAAACAAAACTTGCTATATTTATATACTGGAATATTATTCAGCCCAAAAAAACTCACAAGGAAGTATTTTATACCTATTACAAGAGAAAATATTACACTAAGTGAAAGAAATCAGACACAAGAGATTACATATTTTATGATTTCGTTTATATGAAATGTCCCAAATATGTAAATTCATAGAGACAGACAGCAGATTAGTGGTTGCCATGGCCTAGGGGAGGGGAGGATGGAGAGTGGCTGCTTAATGAGTACAGGGTCTCCTTTTAGGGTGATGAAAATGTTTTGGAACTAGCAGTGGTGATGGTTACACAACATTGTAAATGTACTAAATGCCACTGAATTATACATTTCAAAATGGTTGATTTTATGTTATGTGGATTTCAACTCAATAATGACAACAAAATTTCTGACACATTTCGTTATCTCACCACTGGGCCTCTTCCATAGATGAACTTCTTTCCTGGCCTTTCTTTCAATCCCCTGCAGCCCTCGTCCTGATCCTGTATTATAAAAAGCTTATAAAAATCCCATTAGTTCCCAAGCAATCCTCACCCTCTATTCCTTCCCCATTAGGGTGGCTCAGAAAATGGGAATCTCCAGTGAACAATGGGATCATTGAGTACTGATCCGGCCAAATTCTTCAACTGCCTGACCAGTGGAGAACAGCACAGACTTCTTGACTCTTCCTCCTGGCCTCCTGTTTTGGAGAAAAAACAGAGCATTCCTCTCCCACCCCAGCAGGCTCACCCACACTTCTTTAGTCTGGGCTCCTGGCTTTAACCCTGGGGCCTTCTCCTTGGATATGAATGTCTTGGCCTTATAGTTACATTTGTATGCCACAAACACATTAATGCCCAACCCCTCTGGATGCAACCCTACATCATCTCACATTCCCAATTCCTCCCAGAAAGAAGATCAAGGGACAAGCAAGACCCCAGGCAGCAGAGAGCAGCCGAGGCTCAGTCATTTGCCACAATGCTTCAAATATGACGTTGATGGAGAGCAGACATTGAGTCTATATTAGTCCATTCTCACACTGCTATGAAGAAATACCCAAGACTGGGTGATTTATAATGAAGAAAGGTTCAATTGACTCACAGTTCTGCATGGTTGGGAAGGCCTCAGGAAACTATCAGTGTGGAAGGGGAAAAAAGCACATCCTTCTTCACAAGGTGGCAGGAGAGAGAAGTGCTGAGTAAAGGGGGAAAAGCCCCTTATACAACCATCGATCTCATGAGAACTCACTCACTATTATAAGAGCAGCATGGGGGTAACCAAGCCCATGACTGAATTACCTCCCAAGGATCCCTTCCACCACATGTGGGGATTATGGGAACTACAATTCAAGATGAGATTTGAGTGGGGACACAGTCAAACCATATCATTCCACCCTTGGTCCCTCCCAAATCTCATGTCCTCACATTTCAAAACACAATCATGCCTTTCCAACAGTCCCCCAAAGGGTTAGCTCATTCCAGCATTAACCCAAAAGTCCACGTCCAAAGTATCATCTGAGACAAGGCAATTCCTTTCTACATAAGAGCCTGTAAAATTGAAAGCAAGTTAATTACTTCCTAGATACAATGTGGATATAGGCATTGGGTAAATACATCCATTCTAAA